ATTAACCCAGCGTCGTCTTCGTTATTTGTTATAATATTTGTTTTCACCGGCGGAAGCATTCTTGTCCTTTTTCATAGCACGGTTCCGCACACTCGATTCAGCTCTTAAGTGCGGACGGAAATTCGATTTTTCACTGCAGTGTGATCAAAGAACACAATGTGAGCAGAGCAGATGAAGGAACGAAGTGGTCAATAGATAACCATCAGCTGGTCAACGCCAGTACTGACCAGCGTGGGAACAACTCATAATCGAGACAAGCCGGCCGTGTTATATTTGTAGCACTTCATCTTTATATTAATTCTAAGGATAAGTCCTCAGAGAATTTAAACGATCATTTTTTTTTTTTTTATTTTGTTTATTTTTATTTTATTTATTTATTTTTTTTTTTTTTTTTTTTTGTTTGTTTGTTGTTGTTTTTGTTAAACGGGACCTACAGTTACAGAAAATATGATCTGAATCTGAAAATAAAAAATGCAATAACACTAAGACATTATTTAATTAGAAAAGATTTTAATTGCAGGACGATTGCTTTGGTAACAAAGAAAAGAGTACTGAGCTGTTACGTGTCATCTGTCCTCCTTTACAGCAGCGAATGTTGGACGGTCTCCTCAAAGATGAAGAAGAGACTCGAGGCGACGGAGATGTGATTCTACAGAAGGATGCAGAGGATATCGTGTATCGAGCGTGTGAGCAAGGATAAGGTCTTGTAGAGGATGCAAACAAGGAGGAAGCTTATACTTAACATCAAGAAGAGGCAACTGAAATTTCTTGGATACGAAATGAAAAAGGAGGACCTGGAGAATCTGATACTCACAGGTCGAATAGAGGGAAAAAGAGACAAGGGAAAAGTTACGCATGTCATACCTGGCGGGCTTAAGCAAGTGAATGACAGAACGTGGTCTGGGGGAGGTGGCAGAGAGACCAAACTTATTGAGAGCTATAAGGGATAGGAGGAAGTGGAGATCTTTGATCGCCAACGTCCTGAATGGACACGGTACATAAAAAGAAAAAGGTGTTTGCGTTACGTTGTTTACTGTATAAATTTCAAATTTTTAGCGTTATTCTCTTATAATCCATTTCTTAAATAATTTTTAGTCTAAAAATATGTCATTTCCTTATAGGTGTGTGCAAGAGTAGCCAGAGCTCTTTTTAAAATAAATTAGGCTAACTAACAACAGAAAACCGGTTTTTCGCTGAAAATCTATGTGCACACATTATAACAGTCTATTTAGGCAGTAATCATTAAATAGGACAAGCAAGGAATTTCTGTTAAGCTTTTGGTGTGCTTCTGGTGTTGAATAAATCTTTCGGCCATTGTCGTTTTCAAGGAAAGAAGGTACAAAGTTTAAAAATTGTCCGTATAAGGTTTCTTTTATTCAAATTTTGAAGTTGGAAATAAGCGTGTGTTCGCGTGCAATGATTATGACCTGTACAATTAAAATATATGAAGTGTCTCATTGATCACAGAAAATTAACCGCAGGCCCCAGAAGTAAATTTTTACGGGAAATTACTGAGTGAAATAGAAGCAAATATATGCAGAGAGTTTAGGCAAAAAAAATTGTTTCTTTCCCTACGGATAGTTAAAAGAATTAATTACATACAAAGACAGCAATGACGTGTAAAGATTTGGTGATGTTTGATGATGCCTAGGGCCAACACCTTGATTTTATGCCCCTAAGACTCAAGTAATGGGGGAGCAAGTACTGAAAAATGTGAGAAAGGAAGATATTTTAAATATGTAAAATAGATGAAACATGAGACACTTTATTCAAATTAAATATAAACTAAATTTTTATTTCACTCTTTGATTGGATGCCCTTCCAATATGGATGCTCTTTGCACTCTCTTCTGCACTCTACTGAAAGACAGTGAAATTTAGATTGATTTATTGTTGTTGTTGTTTTTTTTTACGGCTTATCAACCGTTTTTGTGTTGTTTAAAGCCAGAATATATTTTTAGATTGTATAAATATATATATATATATATATATATATATATATATATATATATATATATATATATATATAGATTATATAATTTGGGGATTTCTTAGATTTTATGGGATTTTTTATTTATAAATTAACCCATAGATGGAAGAAGAAGAGGTGAATTCATGCCTTTCCCCAAGGCATTTGCACATAAGTGAATATAACAAGTTCGACTGGAATATGAACTCGGCTCTCCGATTTCCAATTTTGAGCCGTTATCCATTGCACCACCTGCACATCCAAACTTACAGCACCTGGTTACATCCAATGCTTCAAAAACCAAACTAGTTGCAATCCTCCATCACCAAGTGAACCCAGAAATTTCACCAATCGCGATGAATGGATGTTCCTGTGCTTTGAGTGCCTTTTGGGACTTAAACTCAACCCAGACCACAAGTGGAACTCGTACATACGATCCATCGTTAAAGATGCTAGTAAAATGGTCTCACCAGTTAGTTATGTGCCATGCGTGATACACGCGTAGGCGATCACGTATCTTTCGATATACGAC